AAATTGTGTACGACGTATATTGCTTCATTATAAAACAGGGGAAGAATGATATGGAAAAATTAAAACAGACTTCGGAAGTAACAAAACCATCAATGAGGACTGTTAGGTGCATTATTAAGGAAGCTAAAGGCTCTGGCTTGCTCGCCGTGTTTCGGACTCCGGGTTCGAAAAGATCAGGGAAGAAAAAAGTTACCGGAATGGATAGTTTCGTTCAATCTGTAATAAAAAGATGTAATCATAATAACTACATAACAAGCAGCGAAACTCCGTACCGTAGAAAGGCTTCGAAAATTTTAAAGAAGATATAAATGGCTAAATATAATATTAATGGCTCGGAATGAAGCTTACGACGTATTATGAAAGAGCTAGGCTTTAGATGGAAAAAAGAACAGAAAATAATCGGAAGCTGGTAATTGAAAAAAGTAACATTCGATTACTACGAATCGAATATCTTCAAAAAATAATTAATTATAGACATAAAAGAAGACCGAATCGACCGAGTTGTAAACTACATCGATGAGCCGTATGTCGACTAATCACGATGATAGCGACTCGGGTGATGAAAACAGTGATGATGATGATGGTCAAGATTATGATAACGAAAAAAAATATACAAATACCAGCTTCGCTTCAACTGAACCAAGACCTGGCAACAGCTCTAGTTTTGACTTAATAGAAGTAATATCTATTTTACCCCAAGATTAAATTATTACAATTATTAACCTACATTTTTTGTTGATGTTCTAATAAATATATAAAAAAATACATACATATGTTGATTTTAATAATTTAATTGCATTATGACGCAGAGTAAATAATGTTTTTGCACGTGAGTGTACCATGCGCAAACTTACCCCCACTACGTCAACAAATGCTCAAGAAGTTTGCCGGATATTATAGCATAAGCATCGCCAAGACAAGAGTATTTTTGTAGAAATAATAATACGGTCTTGCTAACACAATTTGACAAAACAGTACAATGACTTTATTGTTATCTTTAATCTACTCAGTTTATTAAACTAACATTGCTTTTTTATTTTATTCCGTAGATAGATAGGTACCTAAACGAATTCACAGCCCACCTGGTGTTAAGGTTGTAGCCTTGGTTTTTTCCAGATGCCGACTAATATAATAAAAACCAAATGTATTCTAAGATTAAAGTACAAGCGAACTCTTTCGAGCAAATGTAGATCAACAAAATCAAAGTTCAATTCAGTCCTACATTTCTCTACCGAGATAGCAGGATACCTAGGAGAAGAGGAACAGAAATAATTTGTACATATCACACAAAATCTATAAATGTATAATGTATGTATACCTAAATAAAGTCAAGCGAAGCGCCGCCGCGCCGCGAATGGCCGCGATGTTGCGCAGATGTCCTTTGTCGTATTGATCTGAACTTAGATTTTGATACGTTACGAAAAATTATCAAAGGTCACGCAACAAAGAAATCCAAGCTCTGCAATGGTAAAATAGCCGTACTAAATGACGCATTTCCTAAATTTTCCACTGTATTGCCTGTATTATTTTCCGCTAGTTTCCGCTAGTGGTCACGAGAGGCTTTTCTGGCTTCACCTTGACTAGTGGACAAGCTGATGGGGACCAGCCTGAACTTGCCTGAACTAACTAGCATCTTTTCTTTAATTTTTTTTTTCGGGCCGGCGGCCGAACTTCCGACTAGGTTCACCAGGAGGATGGGACGACGCATCGGCGGCTGCGGCCTGCGAAGCGGTCCGCGTTGTCGTCGTCGCTGTTGTCTCTGAACAGAGTGTGGAAGAGCAACCCGGTCGGCGGTGTATCGCGTTCTGACCCGGCAGGCTGGTTCTGGCCCAGCAGGGTAACCCTGAACACGAACGGCATCGCCCGGGCGGCCTGGCAGGGCCGCTGTACCTCGGAGACCGGCGATGTTGGTTATTGACTCTTGCCTCGACGACCCGTCTTCGGGCCTTCTCGGGATGGCGCCGCATGTCTGGTTGTAGTGTTGACCGCGGCAACCCCCCTACTCTGACCGGGTTCTGACCCCGGAAGGGGATCGGACGTCGGGTGTAAGAGTGCAGGGGATTCGTTTAGTGTGGTAGGGCCCTAAAATTCCTTGGTCCCGCGGTCTGCTCTCAACATCTGCAGATCGTCAAGTCCCACATATCCCGCGTGCCCCCTAGGTGTGGGGATCTCGCTGAAGCTTCGGAACCGAGCCCGAAAAAAAAAAACCGGTCTGGCACTCGGGGACTGCCGCGGTAAAGCTATTGCATAGCATTTTTTGTCAACTTATGCAATTATAATTAGACAATAATAATTTAATATTAAAACAATAATAAAATAAGACCGCGCTATATTTATGAAAATTAACAAAAGCAAAACATTAACTGTCCCCTTCACACTCATAAGCTAGACCGCGCGAAAGAGAGATGGGCAGACTTTTCATGATGCGCATGCAGTGCGACGTCACGCCGCGCGCTTATTTACAAACACTACACAAGCGCAACGTGTGAATGTGATGAACGCGAGCTACATGGTAGGTGGAGTGGGGGTGTTAGGTTTTATTTTCGTTACGGAATTTCTTGATTGTACCAGTTGTAAATGCTGTCAAATTAACTAATAAAAAAAGTAAAATAGATCTCTGTCTACAACTTTGTCTAAAATATGTTGTTAAATGATATCGTCGAGGACTTTGAAATAAGTTACTTTGCCGCGATCAGTGTTTTTGAAAATGTAAGCAAGCAGATTGAAACCAACCTTACTTACTACTCAACCTTATTGCCCAGTAAATTAAGTATATTTTCAAATGTTGCGGTTCCGTTCTATGGTAAAAGCTGCTTTGCGTATTTTGCCCACTGAGTTTCTCGCCGGATCTTCTCAGTGGGGCGCATTTCCGATCCGGTGGTAGATTCTGCGAAGCACTGCTCTTGCTAGGGCCAGTATTAGCAACACTCCGGTTTAAGCCCCGTGAGCTCATCCACATGTTAGGGCGAAGCTGAAAAAGCCTCTCAAGGCTATCAGCATAGGGACGAAAAAAAAGAAGGCAAAAAGGAAGAAAAAAAAATCGTATTTTATTGTTTCGTCTTTCAAATTCGTTACAAAAATTGTGATCGTGTAACACGTCTGTACAGTTTCTTTCTATTTTATAATGTCAATTAAAAAAATGAAAAACGAGTTTCGACGAAAAAAAAACTGTGTAACCGCTTAAAGTGAAAATAGAAATGCTAATCTAAAATCTAATTTATAGTTTATAAAAACTTCAATTAAATTGGTTTTTTTATATATTTGTTTGTTTTCACCTAGGAACGTATCCCCTATAATTCCATATAAATTACCATTCCGTATTCACGGTTTCTGTAGTCACTGCATATTTGTAAAAGCCTTTTTGAAGTCGTCGTGGCCTAAAGGATAAGACGTCCGGTATAATATCCGGCAAACTTCTTGAGCATTTGTTGACGTAGTGGGGGTAAGTTTGCGCATGGTACACTCACGTGCAAAAACATTATTTACTCTGCGTCATAATGCAATTAAATTATTAAAATCAACATATGTATGTATTTTTTTATATATTTATTAGAACATCAACAAAAAATGTAGGTTAATAATTGTAATAATTTAATCTTGGGGTAAAATAGATATTACTTCTATTAAGTCAAAACTAGAGCTGTTGCCAGGTCTTGGTTCAGTTGAAGCGAAGCTGGTATTTGTATATTTTTTTTCGTTATCATAATCTTGACCATCATCATCATCACTGTTTTCATCACCCGAGTCGCTATCATCGTGATTAGTCGACATACGGCTCATCGATGTAGTTTACAACTCGGTCGATTCGGTCTTCTTTTATGTCTATAATTAATTATTTTTTGAAGATATTCGATTCGTAGTAATCGAATGTTACTTTTTTCAATTACCAGCTTCCGATTATTTTCTGTTCTTTTTTCCATCTAAAGCCTAGCTCTTTCATAATACGTCGTAAGCTTCATTCCGAGCCATTAATATTATATTTAGCCATTTATATCTTCTTTAAAATTTTCGAAGCCTTTCTACGGTACGGAGTTTCGCTGCTTGTTATGTAGTTATTATGATTACATCTTTTTATTACAGATTGAACGAAACTATCCATTCCGGTAACTTTTTTCTTCCCTGATCTTTTCGAACCCGGAGTCCGAAACACGGCGAGCAAGCCAGAGCCTTTAGCTTCCTTAATAATGCACCTAACAGTCCTCATTGATGGTTTTGTTACTTCCGAAGTCTGTTTTAATTTTTCCATATCATTCTTCCCCTGTTTTATAATGAAGCAATATACGTCGTACACAATTTTTCTACCCTTTCTGTTGAATACTACACCGGTTTGTCGCGGCATAGTGTATGTTTTATAAAAAATCAACAAACACTCAACAAATAGCAATGGCAACAAAGCCCACAAGTAATTATAACAAATAACTTAACGATTAATAACGATAGACTTTAATAATATAATAACTTTCCACTGTACGCAAGCGTACTTTTGGGAGCAAGCGGAACGAGGGCGCGGTGCGGGACGCAAGGTTCGACTGATCCATAGATTATACACTTAATATAGACTGATCTACCAATAAAGCGCTCGATACGATTTCCCCTGCCGTCGCGCCTCACCCTCACCACCAAAGTGATCTAAAATTCGGTTCTGCGCAGTCAAGGTCATTTGCTCAAGATGTTTGCCGGTTACTATACNAAGTCAATCTCTGTCAAGTAATATAACAGTGTATTACAATACAAAGTTCATACTTTGTATTGTAATACACTACTGTAATGACACACCCGAATCATTACCTAAGTGATGTGTATCAACACATCACTTAAGTAATGATTCGGGTGTATAGATACAATGTATTCGTCGTCACAGTATCTATTGAACGCACCGAGTAATGTTAAGAGTGATGCGTAATGTTTTCGAGTAATATCACCTGCCTGTAAAAGTGATGTCATATCACATTACATTGGGAAGTGATGTTTTGCGCAAGCCTAGTAGCGAGTGACCCATCACTCGAGTCACTTGTACTTATTGTTTCCACGTTGCTATTGTTCACGAGGTACGGTCAGCATGTCAAATCTTAAAAGCGAAAGGAAACGCAAAGTAATTCATGGCGAGGTAAGATTTTTCTTATTTTTAAACCTGTCCCTAGATGTCGATGTAGTTACCAACATGTAACTTATACATATATAGACTAAAAAAAACAATTCCCGCAACGGAGGGAATGCAAAAGTAGATTACGGATTCGATAAAGTTCGGTTCGTGGATCACGTTTTTTCTCGAAAACCATAACTCGTATCAAAAAAGCTAAATGTTTAAAAAAAATACCTATTAATTAAAAGTATTTATTTACTGTTTTCAGGGACGTGCCATTATTGCCCGCGTGTACCACTTTCTTCGAGACGAGTATAATTTTATGAAAGCGAACAATATGGATAATTGTGATTTAAGTCCTTTGGCTAATATACGGAAACGCACAGCTGAAGCTACAGGGATCAGTGAACGAACTGTAACTGCAATTTTAAAAGAAAAAAAAGAACTGCCATCTTCTTCTGCAAGTTTTACTTCACCTATGAAAAAACGACGTAAGAGAAATAATAAATTTGATTTAGACAACATGAATCTTGAAGTCATTCGTACTACTGTGCAAAATTTCCATAATGTACAAAATCAAAAACCAACATTGGAAAATTTGCGATCAGTTTTGAAAGAAAAGATTGGGTTTGATGGATGCTTAAACACATTACGTTCGATACTAAAGAAACTAGGCTACAAATGGAGAAAAATTGGAAACGGCAGAGAAGCATTACAAGAGAGACAGTTTCAGTTTATTATAAATGTCAGTAAAGATGATGACAGTGACAATGACAGTAAAAGTGTAGAAATGTTCGATGAAGGTAGTGATATAAATTAACATGATTTATTACTAATAATAAATGAGGTAGCTTTTTATTTTGTATAGAGTTAAGGTACCTATTGTTTCATCATCATCATCATCATCAACAGCCCACAGTCGTCCACTGCTGGACATAGGCCTCTCCCAATCCACACCACTGAGCCCGGTCTGCGGCTCTCCTCATCCACTTCCTGCCGGCCACCGTGCGGAGGTCATCGCACCACCTAGCCGGGGGCGTCCCACGTTACGTCTTCCGCTGCGCAGTCTCCACTCGAGAACCCGTCTGCTCCAGCGATCGTCAGCATTACATTTTTATGTTTATTTTAATTTTCTACCTTTCATTAATTATTATTACAAATGTAAATTAGTAGTTACTTTAACGATGTTGTTTATTTTTTATTTTGACCACTCCTCTAATAAGTAAATTAAGAAATACTTAAAATATAAAAATGAGTGAAATCCATAACTTGAGTTAATTAATTTTCATTTGCTAACCGTACTTGCTCTCACGCCTACATTGACGTGTATACAAATTGGTCACTCACACAACTAAGGGCGGCGCGCAGTCGTACTTTGCAACAATTACTTTCACAGGCACAATTGACCGTCCACATTGTATTCAAATCCGTCAGATCACATTTTATAAGAGGTATGTTGAAAGCTACCTTTAGGAAACAAGAAAAAGAGAAAACTTGAAAAAAATGTTGTTTATTGAATTGCATTGTATGCTTACCAAAAATCTATTATGTGAAAATCTTGGATGAAAAATGTAAGAATTGAAATTTTGGAAAAAGTGCTAAAATTAAATAATAATAATAATAATAATAATAATAATGCGTGTTGCCGTCTCGGGATCTAAAGACTTTTTGAAGCCGGTTTGGCAAGCCATCCGTGATGTCTTGGATATTGGATTGGGGGATATTGTGCCACTCCTCTACCACAACCGTCTTGAGCTCTCCTAGGATCGTAAGGGCCGGTACTCTTGCTCGGACACCTTTCAGGTTGTCTTAAATGTGCTCAATTAGGTTAAGATCGGGCATGCGTGCCGGGCATGGTAAAAATTGAACACCGACCTCATTAAGGTACTTGGTGACGGATCTTGCGGTATGGCAACGTGCATTGTCATGCATTAACCTGAAGTTATCACCAATGAATGGTGCCAAAAGGTATGACATGGTATGTCTTGAGTAACTTCCTCCACGTATCTTTGAGTGTTCACAGTGCCTCTATTGAACACAACAAGATCGGTACGAGCTTCGTAAGAGATACCACCCCAAACCATTATGGACCTTCCCTGGTAACCGACTATTTCGGTTATAGCGCATGGAGCCAACCTTTCATTTTGGCGCCTTTAGACTCGCTGACGTCCATTGGGACCTCTTAAGGCTATTCTGTTCTCATCTGAGAACAGTAAGTCTTTCCATTGCTGCACAGTCCAGTCAGCATGTTCTTGCGCAAAAGAAAGTCTAGCTCTACGGCGCTGTTGTGAGGCGCGAGCAGGACGAAAAGGCCTCAGATGTCTTTCTGCCAGTCTTATTTTTATGGTACATTCACTCACACTGACATTTCTCACCTCAAAAAGAAGCGTACGAGCTTCAGTAAAGGTGCAAAAGGCATTTCTCAACACGTTGCTGACAACGAAGCGGTCATCCCGAGTTGAAGTGCATCGATGTCGGCCTTCACCTGGCCTGCGGGTGTATGAACCCTTCTCCCGAAATCGTCTGATAGCATCCCGTACCGTGGTTCGGGGTACACCAAGTGTACGAGCGATGCGACGTTCGCTGTGCCCAAGGTCAGCTAAAGCTACTGTCCTAGCTGCACCAGATGCATCGAGTAGCATTTTTTCCAGTCACAAACATTATGCGAACACCACAAACTCAAATTAAACAATATTCACACACTAATAAGGTTATTACACTTGGCTGAATTTAGACGACTGAATTCAGACGCTACTGAATTCAGTGAAGTGTAATAGCATTAAGTAAGTTAGTCTTTTTTTTTTTTTTGTCAGGAGTAAATCGCTGGACTTCCGCCCTTCACTGGGGATGGAGGGCGGGGCATGTCGGAGTCGAACCGACTAAAACCTGTCTCTCAACAACCAACGTCCAAACCTCGCATGAGACAAAACTCATGAAAAGGCAAAGGGGGGAAAGTGAAGCGTTTAGTGCGGAGCACATCTCTCCCATCACCCTCCCCCTCGGGACGCCGGACTGGCGGTCGTCGGCGCCACGACCACCAGCCCTCTCGGTCGAAGTAAGTTAGTCTACTGAATTTAGTAGCAAGGATGGTTTCTGACGGACTGAATCATTTAGAAGCCTAATTAGAAACGCGTTTAGTAAGGTGTAATCGCCTTTAGTTACTGAATGGCATCAGTCGGCCCATAGCTCTCCGTGCGTGAGGACGTTTTAGTTTGTTTTTTGTTTCCGAATAAAGAGTTTTAATTTCGGTCGCCTTTATTTAATGTGCCAGACATTTATAAATAGCCCTACATGTTTCAGGGATAGTTTTTGTCATCAGGGGTTGGGATATTGAAGAACTAAATTTTAAATCTTGATACGAATTTCCTGTTGCAAGAAATCTTAATGTTACAACCAATCTTTCTTTCGGACTTATACTATCGTAGAATTAGATATGTAATAGTTATTTAATAGATATATAATAAACTATCGTAGGATAGAATCCTGCTTTTGAATAAACGGTGTCACAAGGTTTAATATTAGGTCAAACGAGATCGAATCCATTTATAGATAATTTCTGAAGTCTGCTAGTTTTAAATCACTCATAATGTTCATATTTGCTAACATTCCGCACAGCAATAAATATTTCTTCACCGATATTCTTGTTTTTTTTTTTTTTTTGAGAAATTGAAACAAAAAACAAAAATTTTGTTGTCTAGACAATACTGGGGCCATCCTCTTACGCACACGACACGTCTTACTTCGTCGCGTTTAAACTGACAATTGATTCAGTAACTGAATTTTGAACAGTGTAATCAGAAGCTTCTAAAGCTTCTGAATTCAGACGACTAAATTCAGCCAAATGTAATAAGCCTTTATGCCAGAAACGAACAGGAAATGATAACACGCTAACGCAACGTTAACAATGTCAAACAACGGCTAAATTCCAAAAACCCGTTAGGAAACGAAATAAGGGTGAGCAGACTAGTGCTTAATTTATTGCTAGAGTACCCACTTGACAACAAATAAAACAGTGGATAAGCCTTAACAACAGACAGGATGACGAATGACATAGGTGGGCGGTTAATTTTGCATGTGACCTGTATATCGACCTGTACGAACGTGTCTTAGCGCGCGCACAACATTTTTAATAAGTTAATAACATATTTTATAAGTAATCATTTTAAAATCATCAAATTTTATTTTGCGAATATGTAAAAATAAGCTATATAATGAATAAGCTCAGCACTAAAAGGGTCAATATTATTGGTCATAACATAGTTAGTTATTCTTAAGCGCTATGACATGTTCTTCTTCAAACGTGGTTTGTAGGAACGCAGAGGCTGTGCCCAGGACAATGCATTAGTTAGTTACCGCTCACATCCATGAGCGGTAACTACCACTCACCATTAGGTGGTTCGTATGCTAGTCTGTTTAAAAAACAAAAAAATAGTTAGAGTCCTCTAAAAAAATAGTTTAAGTCCTCTAATATAAAACCGTAGTTTGGTCGACTATACGACCCTACACCGTTTCGGATCTTCTCAGTGGGTCGCGTTTCCGATCCGGTGGTAGATTCTGCGAAGCACTGCTCTTGCTAGGGTCAGTGTTAGCAACACACCCAGTTTGAGCCCCGTGAGCTCACCTACACGTCAAGGAGAAGCTGATATAGCCTCTCAGCATAGGTAGAGAAAAAAAGACCCTACACGCCATGATTACCGGGCTGGTCTTTACCTGACCCTTTTAAAATGCTTATTATATGCCGGTCTTTTAGGCGATCCATTTATTATGTGGGTACAGAGCAGCCAAAAAGAGCCTACCTACTCTTTAATTAAAAATTTACAATAAAAACAATGTACCGGTAAAAATTTATACAAAATAATGATAAGTGTTACAAATTTGGCACCTTAGATCATTTATATACGATCAAAAACTTTCCTACAATTATAAATCAAATGTCTACATATGTTACATAAAAACACCAAACAGGGGAATTATGTACGAGTATATTCTTTATGCCGGCCACTCACATACGCGCGAACATTTGTACATTGTACGAATGTTCGCGCGCGTGTGAGTTGCCGTCAGACATTCACTCGCAAACTTAGCGGCTACGGCTGTGCAAATGGGTTCGGTATTCAATTTGCGAACCCGTTTGCGCTTCCTCCTACAGTTGTTTACGAATGTCTCACGAATTTCTCTTCTTTTTTAATTCGTCAATAGAACATTGAAGAGAAAAAGAGTTTTTAACTCTTTCCCAGGCGTCATTAACGGCCATTCTGTTTTTATGGGATTTCTTTTGAGGGTCCCATATGGTCGATTCATTTTGCAGGAGTTCAATGAACTTCATTACCTTGGTGTTGTTCCAATCTGTGATGAAGGTACGCTATATAGTAGATGTCACGAGCTATGAAAATGGCGAAACGTCCGTTACCTACGCATTCGTGGGCACAACTGGTCACACCAAGTCACACGAGTGTGTGGGAGACTACGCGAAGGATCGCGGTTCGCGCGCTTTGATGTCCGTTAAAAAACCGACATAGCTTGGAAAACCACGAATGCAGCGAAAACTTTGCATAATCATTTGCAAATGTCGTCCTACACTTGTAGGTCTGCGTATTCGTGCGAATGTGAGTGACCGGTATTACTGTCGGGATTTCCTTATAAAACTAATGACGTCAATATTACACATACCTTCACACTCGGATAGGTGGCATATGCATGTGTATGTATATGGTGCACATTAACTAAAGGATAGTAACTAGAAAATCGAAAATATTTTGGTAATAAATAAATCCTAAGTATGTGTCCTTTATTTCAATTTAGTTTTTAATGTTCTAAATTGTCTTTTCCGGAGGACAATCTCTCTTAGTTTACTAGGTAGGTACTTAAATAAAGTAAAAGAAAAATATCGTCAATGAAAAAAAAAATATATAAAACTAATGCATTAATCTAGTCCTATAAATACTGCTGGTATTTGGTTTCTGCATACAGCATGCTTCTCTAATCGATAGGTAAATACATCATCAATCGTCCCTCATTAAAATAATGAACCTACGGTGTTATTGTTCATCGCAGAGTCAATGTAATAATAATTCACATGAATTGAATGAGCCAACAATCGTGAAAATTATGAATAACACAATACAGTCATATTGCTTTGAAAATAATAAACTAACAATACCTATCCTCGTTCCGACTTCCAAGTACGTAGATATGATTTTACATGATTTTATGATTTTTAAAGTACACGAATTTAAACTAAAAACCCTATTCATGTATTTGTCTCCCCTTCGCACGCCTTTGTTTTTAATCAGGTGTAAGAGTATCAGAACTAAATATGCTATTAACTAAGAATACAGAAAAAGAAAAAGAAAGAAAGATTTTTTTTCTGTATTCTGAGGCTATTCAGTATTTCAGGTAAATGAGGCTGAGCCCGGAACGTTTTGTATGAACTCAGGTAAAGGAACACGTCATCGTGTTTTCTCGGAAGACTATTTCGCACTCGATAGATTGTGTTCATTTTCTTTTAGCCCTAATAGAAGTTTTAATTTGGCCCACGGGATATTTGGCTAAATTTGGCTATAAATGACAAATATTTTTAGTTTATAACCATATCAGCATTCCCACGTTAAACATGAAAAGAAATAACACAAAAACATATGCATAACAATACCAAATAGGTACGGTTTTTTTATCACCTTATTTCGTCAATCGAATTTTAAGAAAACATTCAAAATAAACGGTTTTACGATAGTCGTTACACTGTGGGAATCATTTGAGCTATTCAAAACAGAACCAAACAGGAGGGTGAACTTGGAAGCGTTGCAAGCAGCAGCTGTTCTTTAGACAATATACCTACCTTAAATAGTCTATATTATAGTCGCTCCCCCCTCATGAAATTGTAATCGCCGCCGCGGCGCCGCGCCGCGCGTCGTCACACAAAAAGGTCGACCCGCGACCCGCGTGTGACTCATTGCAGCCGCTTTATCTACTTCACATCTTAGGCAACATTCAGTCTTATGCTTATTGTTTTAAAATGTATTTTTAATTTCATAGAACATTCTACGCAATATTGCGTGACTCATGGGTTTCATGAATTGTTTTTGCGTCAAAACCCGTTTGCCGTAAACTGAGGTCTCAGATATACGAATATTTATATGTTGATAGGTAAACATTACATATATTGTTATAACTATGTTTTTGAGTAAACAAGTAACCTAGACAAACAATTAACATTTCTCATAGGTAGGTAGGTAGGTACCTATTTCATTTTAAAGTTTCAGAAATAGTTAATATACCTACCTAATATAATTAGTGAACATTAGTGAATAGTGAATCACCGCCTAGGTACCTAATAAACATCATAATAATATAAGGTTAAACAACTCAAGCATACAAAATCTGCACCCACGCGAGGCCCCCGATCAATACTCTGCTACCTCCGCTCCCCTCACGTTCCCCCTACCCGTCTGTCTAGTGACGGACAATTCGGTATTGCGCGTTTTCTATTATGATTTATGATAGATATATACTTGAAATTATGATATTGAAATTTCAACGAAAACAATTGTATTTAATTAGGTTACGTATTTAATTTACACCGAAAAATCAATTCATTAATGTTAAAAATACCATGCAGTCAAACTAATTTTGTAGGCCTTAAAGCCTGTAATTACAGATAGAAAGGAAAAAATCCCAAACATAGAATATTGCTTAGGTATAACAGCTCTGATTTGAGCTAAATTAAAGGTGTTTTAAAACAAAAGCATCAACGTGTGAAGTTTATTTGTAATTGTATTGTAATAGATAAGCCAATTTTATTTTATGATCTAGAGAATTCTAGTAATTCCGCTGATTATCGGAATAATTAATAACGAGAAAAAGAATTACAAGGAAAATTGTGTCATGTGTCCTTGTTTTAACTTCACAAACTCAAAAATAAATAAATATCTATGTATATAAGCACAGCTCACTATAGTATATTTCCCACCTACTTTGTGGCAATTGTGGCCCCTGCCGTACAACTGCGTCAACTCCGTTAAATTCATTCCAGGGCCGCAATACGTAAAAGATTTCGTTAAACACTACAAGAGATAAATTATTTTTCTCCTTTATTTTTAAATGTAATAATATTTCTAAGTTAACCTGCGATCCTATGTATATAACTTGATATCTGTACGCCATCTGTTAAAAGCATAATTAGTGTCAATATTCATATCGAAGCTGTTTATTTTAAACAGGATTTCATTTTACGAACACATAAAATAGTTATGCAATTAAATCTATTTTGGACCAATTAGTAATTAAGATAATTCTTTCCACAATATGCTATCATAGTATCCTGGGCTAATATTGGGCATATTGCCCATCTACTACTCGCAATTTTGACAAACCGGTTAGGGTGGGCCAAGTAGATGCTCAAATCTAAATGTCGAAATCATCACACTTATTGACGTTTGTATGTCCACAACTCTTTTACGGAATTTACATTACGAAATTTGTGTCGTGCATGTTGAACTCAGTTTCACGAAAGTAGTTTCCATATATGCGAATGTAATATCGTAAAAAAATTAGTGTTGCGAAATCCACAGTATCGTAGTAACCATGTCGCCATCAGCATCAAAGTTCTATTTTGCTATATTCAATGCAGCTAAAGAAATGCTTATATATATATAAACTAAAAAAAAACAAAGACTATTAAGACAAAAAAGACGTTGGTAGGTTCGAGGATGGTTAACAAGAAGGCATTTAGGCGCAATGAAGTTAGTCTCTGAATTAGTAGATGAAGATCCTGAGAGCTATCAAAACTATTTTCGAATGAGTGAAGATAATTTGAATTCTTTACTGTAGGTGATTCGGGCCCCAGACACCCTTGTCGCTGATATTAGTTTCACGTCGCGTCTAGTTGCATGACATTAATTTCAACAAAAAATCGCGCAGAGCATGATACTTATTTGCATTCTCATGAAATAAATGCATGCATTACGAAAATATTAAATTACACGTGAAACTGTGGGTAAAACTAATGTCACGAAATTAATTTCATGCCACTAATTTCACCCTTAAAGCTGCCAATAACCACACCAATCGGAAGAAATGACTCAATGTGAGACGAAAATTCATGTTGGGCACAACCTTCAGAATATGAACAGCACGACCAAGAAGAGAAGAGATGTACTTAATGATTCACTATCAAAATAAATTATGCTTTCAAAAACAACTAGTTTTGAAAAGAAACAGAAACAAAATATCAGGCGGCTAACAACAATAATCCTAAATTTTCTTTTATATAATTGTTAACATCTAAATTCCGCCCTGTTACAATACCTCCTCATTTTCCGCCATCTTGTCGAGCTACTGCGCAGTGGGATCGCATCTATAAAAGCAGAAAGTGACGTAAAACGCCCGCATTGATCAGTCATCGTGTTTCTGTGGTGACGTGTTTGTGTGGTGTAGCTCCGGAACTAAACCAGTGCCATTTTGTGCCAGGTCGGATACAGGTGTGTAATACTGTATTACCACAATTTATTGAGCCCTTTCTAATAATGGGCTACAGTGCCAAAGAATCTTCAGTTGTTGACTTTTGTGAAAGTAAAACAGAATCTCTATCGAACTGGGTTCGACAAGTTAAAAATAAGTCTCTCACAGCCAAGACAAAGAGAAAGCGCGATTTGAGAGTAATCGCCATCTTGAGTCACTCTCTAGTGCGAGCAGAGACTGAGCTCGTTATGAAACAAAGAGAACGTGCCAGGAAGTGGGCTCAGATGCAAGTTGACCTCGGATTGTCCAACAAAGAGGAGGAAATCGCCAGGCGTCACCGGGAAAAAATCGATTATTTGTGGAAGAATGATCTCAGTGGACTAGACAGCTTTTTTAAAGAATTAGATAATGTTAAACCAATACTAAAGTGAATTTATTAGGTAATTTAGAACAAGTATTTGAATCTGTGATATATGTAGGATGTTTTTTAAATTACAGTCCCATTGCGTTTCGCGTGGGTCTGCATCCGTCGGCCGCCATCTTGGTCGCCGCTGGGGCGTGGTTGCTGCCAGCTACAAAATGGGTTTGTAGAACGGTATCATGTACCTATTTATTTAGTTTTAAGTAATTGTAAATTTTGTTTCAATTTGTCTATTATTGCATAATGGTTAAATTGGAATTTCAGCTCTATTCATATTGAATAAAAATTGTAACATATGTTCTAATATGATAATAAAAAATATTTTAAAAATCTTGTATCAATGGATTTTATTTAAATGTGATTTTACCCTATAAATGTCATTTACATGAGTCATCGTCATCATCACTTGGAGGCGAAATATGGCGGCGTTGCGTGTTTGGCGCTTTCAACTACTTCGAGATAGTTCGAGAATGACGTTCTCGTCGCGTCTGCGGAGGTGATTCATAGCTGCCTTTGAACACGGCCCTGCGGTGCCACTACGTGAAATGTCTGCACGATCGTAACAATCCAGTCCCAGTTGTCAGCCCACTAGGTAAAAGTTAGGTAATAGCAATATGATTTCCTAACTTCACCTTGATTTGAAGCCTGAACATCGGCTTCTTCGTGTGTAACTATACCTTTAGATCTGACAGAAACTTTGCGTGAAGCAGCAACCACGACGATCGAGGTATCGCAGCTACCCGTCGCAACGCGTTTTTATTGAGCAATGTGTCATCACGGTACAATGACTCAACTCTGAATTGAATCGAAGTAAAGAGGTTAGTGGGTGAATCACTTGCTAATTCAAAAGGCAGTGATTGTTTACCGGAATAAAATGAAAACATAATGTTTTTGTAGATCTTTTTCTCTAAGTTAATAAAATACGTTTAAGCTTTATGATAACCCATTCAAGCAGGGCATCAATATATCTTCGCACAGGCTTCAAACTGCAAGGAGACTCGAAATAGTTTACGTTACTATCTACCTACCGACTTCGTACATACACCTTGACGAACCGAGAATTAATTCAGTGGCGCTGCACGCAACGGTTTTTGTAAATTTTGGCTATTCCTGGCTTATTTTCTTACAAGTGGAGCTCACAACGAGAGGGCAACGTCTAAGTTACGTATCGATGCTGGTAAATAAAACGATTACAAAAAACAAACACTGAAATTCATAAATGGATCGGGTATGTCCTGTAAATTATGGAATCACTCTTAATGTCTTGACAAAGAAACTGGAATATAAGATGGAAACGCAACTAGCTTTACAATAATTAAAACTATACTAAATGATAGGGATATTCGTCTCTGCATATGTGAAATGGTGAGTTTACTATGTTTTGCCATTTATCGTCTTGTAATAATTCTAATACTAAATTCATATCTGTTACCAGTTTGAATTAGATACATAAGTTATACAAATTTAATAAAATAAAACTACGTCTTTATTGATTTCTCTTAATCCTGAAAGTTTTAATAAAATGAAAAACTGCTCTTATGACTTAATTATTTATCTCATATTTTCAATGCAAACTTCACAGCAAACTACTACTCTGGAGCACAGACTCGTGGTCGAGTCAAGTTTCCTAAGATCAAAATGATATCAAGGTGATGTCCTTTCTCACTCGAAGAAGGCTTACCAGCACCAGTTGACGTTAGCGAGTCCACGCTGCGGCCTAAAGACAGATAAGTTCCAGAACTAGTCTTTTAGGCGGAAGTTTGCATACTAAATCTGCATATTTTAGTTAATAGCTTTTGAACAGAATATAAGAAATCTATAACACGACAATCAAATGTTCGGTTCTTATTGAGAAGGTAAAACATTTTTTTTTGAACTTCAAATCTGGATTTAGTGCTTTTTTTTTAGCAAATGTAACTACAGAATGACAATAATTTTGAAGTCAACTTCTACTGCAAAAGTCTAAACATATTATTGAAATTAAGTAGGCTCGTTCAATTTGTTTCCATTATATGTATAAATTAATACCAATTTTCATAATGCCATTTTATAGCAATTCTTTGTCTGTCAACTCTTGTACGGTTTCGGAGAATTTGAGGTTGTGTTTGAACCTGTTTTTTTTGTTTGAATGATTATTCGGCGTCCCTCGCAAGGAAATCTTAACATGCTCTTTTGCTTAGATCTGATCAACAGGTTTTCAGATCAATATAGCAGAGGAAACTATGAAGTTAAAAAGACTACCTACCTATATTAAGCAAAATGCAATGATGAAAAATCTAGGCCCATTCTTCGTTAATATCTAGAAAATTATTGAAAAAGGACTAAACATGTATTGTGTTATTTGGATATATAATTCAATTTCAACAAAAAAACTACGAAAATATTGAATTAAAATGTGAAGTCAGTTTGTGGAATAAAAGTCATAATGTAATGTAGGAAAAATATAAAACTAATGACTGTTGTAGTCTCCCGCCAGAAAATAAGCGTTCTTGCCTGGAAATGAAAATAAAATTATGGAAAGGAAAGAAACAACCTGGTTCGGGTAATTATGGACGCATGTTTGTGCTAATCGTTTTTAAAGCTAAAATATACACAGACTGAAAGAAAGGATCTGAACAATGCTTACGAAGGGAGATAATTTAAAAAGGATAAGGATAAAAGTATTTTTATACACAAGACTTGGAGGTGTATCAGTTTATGGTGACTTTGCTACTACACAATTCGTATATACAGTAAGAGTATATTTTTATTTACTATCGAGTATGCTATATATATATTTTTACGAAGTGGACTTTGAGACATGCTTAAAACGAATCTATAGGTACTTAAATCTGGAATATCTACATACAACTGAGAATACTTTCCATGGAAAACGGTGTACGTATGAACTGTTTTTAACGAAATATTTCTCTACAATACTAATGAATATGTTTTGAACAAACTAACCTCTTAAAATATGATTAGCAGACAAATAGTAGGAGCTGATTTCTCTTCATTACCATTATAACTTTATACTTACTGTCCATTGTGAAAAATAGGTTTATTTAAAGAAATTAGATTAACCTGAATTATGTTGTACCTATGCTTTGCTATTTGGCGCATTGATTGAATAAGAATGAGAATAGGATATCAAACTAAACAACCATCACGACAAAATGGTTCAAACATCTAAGAACATGCCTGTCCATATGGATTATTGTTCATGTAAGTTGCATTCTATTAAGTTATTCATGATGTGTTGTGAATATCTGTTTGTTTGTCTTCCAGAGTTATCGGTAATAAAACGTTCTTTTCTACGGGACTGATAAAAATGACAATCTATAAAATAATTAACAGGAAATTTAATTACCAATTGAAAAAAAAACCAACTATGTCTATTCTCGATCCTTCCTGCCATTAATGTTAACAATGATTGGCAATATTTCTACTCTCTTCTGTATACCTTGACTTCACCTCCGTGGCGCTCTTCTGTTGCTATTAATGTACTGCATAAGGATGATCGAGATAACAAAAACTACAAATCAAGTAGTACATCATCTACATCCATATTGAGGAATTTGTTGGCTTGCTGCCAGTGGTATGAGAGCTTTTGTGAGTCACAAAGTACATAATTAAGAAGCACATCGCCCTAATGATTGTGATGCTAAAAGGTAAGGTATTTAAACTACCAAAAAACTTTGAATAATGCTGACTACAAAAGCTACGTTGATGATGAAAAAATTGGTCACTTTTTTTAATATTTACAACTCTTCAACAACATTTGGAATTAAATTAATTTTAATGGTAGGATTTTCACATTCAGTATCATTATTATCCTTCTATCTTTTTATCAGCATGACTCTTAACTAGGTACCTAGGTAGTTGCGGTACTGCTAATCGAAAATTGCATTGATATTTGCACAACCTGATAGTTTTTCAATTTTAGTACTACACTTTATATTGGCTGCTCAAACTATACGTTTAGCCTTTGTAGTTGTGATTTTTTTCTTTATTTGGATAAACAGTTTTGTGCGTATGCTTATAAAGAGCTCACCTTGAGACATAAGATCGAAGTCTGATGCAAAGTTTGGTTAGCTATACCTATTGCTCTAGTTGCAATGATGCCGATGTCTCAGTAGGTAGTTGTTACTATCATAGATCGCTGCGTGGTGTTTTATTTGTCGCCAGTGCTTTCGTGGTGGTCACTATTGTTACGGATCCCCGCACCGCGTCTCACTATGACCAATCTCAGAGGTGTTCCTTGCTGCTGCCAACGATTCCCGTAGTGGCTTGCTGTTGTCGATGCCTGCGTGGTACTTCTTGCTGCTGCAGATTTCTGCGTGGTGATATTTTTACTAATTCAGATGTGCCTAACTTGTGTTAAATAGCTACCAGTCTCCGTGGATACAAACTAGACTATGAAATCGACTCACTGCTATTTATTTTATATACTTAGATGTTTTAGATGAAAATATGAACTTTGTGTGGTTAGTGGTTACCGAAATCCTCTTAAATCATAACATAAGAATACGTCATTGATACATAAGGTCGAAAGACTAATGAACTGTTAACGCCTCTTCACCCGTCAATTAGGAACGCATCACTGGTTTGTGGCGGATGTAGACATAAGGTTGCCGTTCAAATGCCTAAGTAAACAGCGTGGTAACTGCGAAAGCCACGATGTCTACGTGGTTGACTTTGGTACCTACCTACTTGTTAGCTGCTTCTCTATCCCTAGGTGGTAACGTATTTAAAAGCCGAAGTGCGCACGAGAATACAACCGACCCGGCTTTGAATTTCGCTACCCGTCGTGACATCTGCATTCGCATAATTACTGATAATGCGGTTCGGATTTCGTTATTTTATAGTTTAAGATGAAAAGTCAGACCCACATCTCGTATTTATCGAACGAATCTTCGTCACAAGGTAAATGTGTAGACATGTGGCCAAAAACTGCTCAACTGCTTAGTGGCCTCCTTGCTTTGTTTTTGTGGTGCCAACCGGTAAACAACACTTAACACCGTTAATGAGCATACCATGTCTGCGGTCGTCGATGGTACTAAATAGCTGCTGCCTCTACCTCAATCTTGCATGCCGAATCTACCAACGTGGTAACTTCGATTGCTATTTGTGCCTGGATGGTGAATTTCTGCCGCTTGTTGACTGCGGCTGCCTACCTGCTTCATGATGACCACTAAAGCCTACCTAATGATGACTCCGGGTACCACTGGCGCCTACCTAGGTAATGATGACTCCGGGTGCCACTGGCGCCTGCCTAATGATGACTCCGGCCTGCCTAATGATGACTCCGGCCTGCCTAATGATGACTCCGGGTGCCACTGGCGCCTGCCTAATGATGACTCCGGGTGCCACTGGCACCTACCTAATGATGACTCAGAGTGTTATTGTCGCCTGTCTAGTGATGATGATATGTAGTGTTAAATGCAGCTTCAAACGCCCTCCGCGCACCGTATTTCGTCTATCATCGTTGTTGCGTGGTGGTAACTGACGGTGGTTGATCCCAGTGTAATAACAACGGGTACCAACACAAACTGCGGTTGTGGTGTCACCACCGTGGTCATCATTCCGGTTAGCACCGCCGCCTTCGTGGTTGACTCCGGGTGCCATTGCCGCCTGCCTGATGCTGACTTCGTCCGCTACCGCCGGCTTCGTGGTGGTGACTTCGGCAATGGTCGGTGCCTGCACGCTGACACCGTCAGTCACCCTTGCCTGCTTGGTGGTAACTGTAACTTTAAACGTCGCTATTAGTGGTGGGTGCCCTAGGCTCTAATTATTACGTGTTGAAGTCTCCGGCAGCGGTTGAGGCCTGTGTGATGATTGGTTGCCGTCTGTGCTTAGGTGTTAAGTTAGATTACCGTTGGTGTCCCAGTGAGACAGTGACTCCCGGGTTGGTTGGTGTATGTGCCGTGACTTCGGCTATCATCACAGTCTGCATGATGCTGATTTCAGTGGCGATCGGCGCCTACGTGGTTTTAACTTGTGAGGTGGTTGTCGCTTGCGTGATCAGTGGTTACCGACGATGTCTGCGTACCGCGTTTCCGACTACTGCAGTCGCCTGTGTGCGGTAAATCCGGCTGCCACCTGCCTGGTGGTGACTTCAGCTGTTGTCACCGCCTTCGTGGTGGCAACTCCAGCTGCCGCCTGCCTGGTCGTGACTCCGGCTACCGCTAGCCTGGTCGTCACTACAGCTGTCATCGCCGCCTTCGTGGTGGTGACTGGCTGCCGCCTGCCTAGTCGTGACTCCTGCTGTCATCACCGCCTGCCCGATGGTGACTCCTGCTGTCATCACCGCCTGCCCGATGGTGACTCCGGCTGTCATCCTCGCCTGCCTAGTGGTGACTCCGCCTGTCATCACCGCCTCCTTGGCGGTGACTCCGGCTGTCATCGCCGCCTCCTTGGCGGTGACTCCGGCTGTCATCGCCGCCTCCTTGGCGGTGACTCCGGCTGTCATCGCCGCCTCCCTGATGGTGACACCGGCTGTCATCGCCGCCTTCGTGATCGTGACTCCGGCTGTCATCGCTGCCTCCTTGGTGGTGACTCCGGCTGTCATCGCCCCCTACCTGGTGAAGACCCTGGTTGTCATTGCCGCCTGCCTGGTCGTGACTCCAGCTGCCGCCAGCCTGGTGGTGTAGCACTACAGCTGTCATCGCCGCCTGCCTGATGGTGTCTCCGGCTGTCATCGCCGCCTTCGTGGTGGTGACTCTAGCTGCCGCCTGCCCCTTCGTGACTCCAGCTGCCGCCAGCCGCCGCCAGCCTGGTCTTCACTACAGCTGTCATCGCCGCCTTCGTGGTGGTGACTGGCTGCGGCCTGCCTGTTGGTGACTTTTGCTGTCATCGCCGCCTCCCTGGTGAAGACCCCGGTTGTCATTGCCGCCTGCCTGGTCGTGACTCCAGCTGCCGCCAGCCTGGTCGTGTAGCACTACAGCTGTCATCGCCGCCTTCGTGGTGGTTACTGGTTGCCGCCTGCCTAGTCGTGACTCCGGCTGTCGTCTCCGCCTACCTGGTGGCGATTCCGGCTGCCACCTGCCTGGTGGTGACTCCTGCTGTCATCGCCGCCTCCCTGGTGGGGACTCGTGCTGTCATCGCCGCCTCCCTGGTGGGGTCTCCTGCTGTCATCGCCGCCTCCCTGGTGGGGACTCCTGCTGTCATCGCCCCCTACCTGGTGAAGATCCTGGTTATCATTTCCGCCTGCCTGGTCGTGACTACAGCGTTCATCGCCGCCTTCGTGGTGGTGACTCCGGCTGTCATCGCCGCCTTCGTGGTGGTGACTCCGGCTGTCGTCTCCGCCTACCTGGTGGCGATTCCGGCTGCCACCTGCCTGGTGCTGACTACGGCTGTCATCGCCGCCTCCCTGGTGGTGACTCCAGCTGTCATAGCCGCCTACCTGGTCGCGACTCCGGCTGCCGCCAGCCTGGTCGTGTAGCACTACAGCTGTCATCGCCGCCTGCCCGATGGTGACTCCGGCTGTCATCGCCGCCTGCCCGATGGTGACTCCGGCTGTCATCGCCGCCTTCGTGGTGGTGACTCCGGCTGTCATCACCGCCTGCCTGATGGTGACTCCGGCTGTCATCACCGCCTGCCTGATGGTGACTCCGGCTGTCATTACCGCCTGCCTGATGGTGACTTAGGCAATCATCACCGCCTGACTGATCATGGCTGCTGCTGTCGTCCCGCCTGCGTTTTTTTAATTGCTTAGTTGGGTGGACGAGCTCACAGCCCACCTGGTGTTAAGTGGTTACTGGAGCCCATAGATATCTACAACGTAAATGCGCCTTCCACCTTGAGATATTAAGTTCTAAGGTGGTCGTGACTCCGGCTGCCATCGCTGCCAGCTGGTCGTGACTCCGGCTGCCATCGCTGCCTGCCTGGTCGTGACTCCGACTGTCATCGCCGACTACCTGGTGGCGATTCCGGCTGCCACCTGCCTGTTGGTGACTTCTGCTGTCATCGCCGCCTCCCTGTTGGGGACTCCTGCTGTCATCGCCCCCTACCTGGTGAAGATCCTGGTTATCATTGCCGCCTGCCTGGTCGTGACTCCGGCTGCCGCCAGCCTGGTCGTGTGGGACTACAGCTGTCGCCGCCTCCTCCGCCACCGCCCTGGTGGTGACTACGGCTGTCATCACCGCCTGCCTGATGGATGACTCCGGCTGTCATCACCGCCTTCGTGGTGGTGACTCCGGCTGTCGTCTCCGCCTACCTGGTGGCGATTCCGGCTGCCACCTGCCTGGTGCTGACTACGGCTGTCATCGCCGCCTCCCTGGTGGTGACTACGGCTGTCATCGCCGCCTCCCTGGTGGTGACTCCGGCTGTCATCGCCGCCTACCTGGTGGTGACTCCGGCTGTCATCGCCGCCTACCTGGTGGTGACTCCGGCTGTCATCGCCGCCTACCTGGTGGTGACTCCGGCTGTCGTCTCCGCCTACCTGGTGGCGATTCCGGCTGCCACCTGCCTGGTGCTGACTACGGCTGTCATCGCCGCCTCCCTGGTGGTGACTACGGCTGTCATCGCCGCCTCCCTGGTGGTGACTCCGGTTGTCATCGCCCCCTATCTGGTGAAGGCCCTGGTTGTCATTGCCGCCTGCCTGGTCGTGTAGGACTACAGCTGTCACCGCCGCCTCCCTGGTGGTGACTACGGCTGCCATGACCGCCTGCCTGATGGTGACTCCGGCTGTCATCGCCGCCTTCGTGGTGGTGACTCCGGCTGTCGTCTCCGCCTACCTAGTGGCGATTCCGGCTGCCACCTGCCTGGTCGTGACTCCGGCTGCCGCCAGCCTGGTCGTGTAGGACTACAGCTGTCACCGCCGCCTCCCTGGTGGTGACTACGGCTGCCATGACCGCCTGCCCGATGGTGACTCCGGCTGTCATCGCCGCCTTCGTGGTGGTGACTCCGGCTGTCATCGCCGCCTCCCTGGTGGTGACTCCGGCTGTCACCGCCGCCTCCCTGGTGGTGACTACGGCTGTCACCGCCGCCTCCCTGGTGGTGACTACGGCTGTCACCGCCGCCTCCCTGGTGGTGACTACGGCTGTCACCGCCGCCTCCCTGGTGGTGACTACGGCTGTCATCACCGCCTGCCTGATGGTGACTCCGGCTGTCATCGCCGCCTTCGTGGTGGTGACTGGCTGTCATCGCCGCCTTCGTGATGGTGACTGGCTGTCATCGCCGCCTTCGTGGTGGTGACTCCAGCTGTCATCACCGCCTGCCTGATGGTGACTCCGGCCGTCATCGCCGCCTGCCTAGTCGTGACTCCGGTTGTCGTCGCCGACTGCCTGGTCGTGACTACGGCTGTCCTCGCCGCCTGCCTGTTCGTGACTACGGCTGTCATCGCCGCCTGCCTGGTGGTGTCTTCGGCTTCCAACGCTGACGGTTTGATTGTGAATACTATTACCATAGGCTATTCCGAACACCAGCCGCCTATACCGCTGCCTGCTTAGCGTGATTTCGACTCTCACCAATGACATGGGGTAACTCTTGCCACAACCCATATAAGCATGTTGTCACGTGTTCATGGCGCTACCTGCATGATGACTACTGCTCAACCCTCTGAAAGCTCTTTGCGCCTGAAAATGCGATGTATATCTAACAGCTGACTCGTCCATATTCCGCTCTTGTTATCATCTAGCTCTCTCAGCACCTCTTTATTAGATAAAAATTAACCAAAGTTAATAATGTCCTATAAAATCTCTTTTGCAGAGTACATTGTTCTAGAGACGGACAGTTTTGTAATGGAATCGAACAGGCTGGTTTTTATAAATTATTGGTTTTAAAGTGCTAATATGTTTCTTTATGGAACTAAATTACCTGGAGGCTTCAGTAGTGAATATAGCACTTATAATGTAATTTAGCAAATGCTATCGAATCATTAAAATATATTTCTGGCAAGTTTGAAAAAATGAACAAAGATTCCTTAATCTATAATATAAAGGATTGCAACAAATGAGGAACTAAGTACAGTGAACCACGAAAGCTAGATCACGCCGGCGTCGTGGCGGACTATATCACATTTTAAAAATCCAGGGGTGTCTAAAAAAACTAATTTATACATGAGAGCGAATGTATGTACCTACGTGAAATATTAAAATGGTATATGGAAATTTTTAGCTTGACTGGTTAAAAAAATTAACTTGCTCTTAAATGCTTTGCTTGATCACAGCATTCTTGAAATAGCGTGCTCAGATTGTTTGTGCGGTTTCAAAATGTGAATTATTAGCCCTGTGAACAAATTGAAAAGTCATTGTGGTAGATGCATGTACGTTATAAAGTAATGCATTAGAAGATTGAAACAAGGAGTAAAATATTTGCTAGACGCTAACCCAATGAAATAATTATGTTTCTTTACAATTGCGTATTGGATATTGAACTATTGACAAATACCACTTAAGGAAATCGGATTGATTTAACGAATAAGTTTTAATTAACGAAGGTATGCAGTGGATATTTTTCATTCCTAGAATAAAAAAATTATAACACTAAAATCCTATTGTAGTGTATGTAGATCATCTCTCCTATGACGCGGATTATTTTGTTTTTCAGACCGCACGATTAATCAAACACAACGACTACTAAAAGCGCCGTAACAGCACAACTAGTTTCATTACGAGCCTGATAACTCTGCGATTGGTATGAAAACATCTGTCAATTCACGAAACGTAATAAAAACTTGCAAAAAGTTAGGAAGAAAGATGCTTTTTACAGAAAGAAAGAAATGTTAGGTCACACCGTTTTGGAGGCGGCTTGTTTCGTTACATTTACAGATTCGAACTCACAACAATGGAGAGGTGACTGCCGGGTGAAACTGACCCGACTTCAGACTTGAACACGCAACTGAATAACGAATAACTGCTACGGAAGCGGCGTCGGCTGAAAATATTATAACTTCAAAGGTATGCAAATATGTATGTTAAAAGCATTGCATGAAACCAAGAAAAGCCTGAATCTATTGGAATAGTATATGGCAAATTTAAAATATTATGATTAAAGACTAAAAACAGAAAGGTTGCTTGCTACAAAGGAGGAACTCTAGAAATGGATATAGTTTGACAAGAACAACAGGATGTTAGGTCACACCGTCCTCGTGGCGGATTGTTCGATTGTTACAGATTACAAGGGCATCTATCGGATTCTTTGCTACATTGAACTGGTGGTTATATACGCGACATCCCAGCCGGGTATGATTATCGCAAATTACTTTTATTGAACTAAAACAGCACGTTGATTCTGTAGCTCTCTGCAAGATGGTTAGGTCACGCCATAGAATGGCACGTGTAAAATCTCTCTTGCAGATTTAGAGACAAAGCCTGAAAGTTCGTGTTACGATGTACAGTGCAGCTTTGAAATCTTTATGAAGGAAAATACTCTTTACTATTATTTTACATCATAAGATGGGACAAAAATATGAAAGAACTAATAAAATTCCGGAAGTTACTAATGAGTTGATTTAAATATTTATTGGATCCTGCATTGATCGACTTGAAGAGATACTGAAACTTAAAAGGGAAAGTCAGAATGGAGTTTTTTGTGATTGAAAGGTACGCAAGCAGTTAAGCTATCATTGTAGAACAAAAAATGGCCGCACTGTTAGGTCACGCCGTCCTTGAGGCGGATTCTTCCTTTTGCAGATTCCGTAACTACTGAGCTGAGACACATCGAAAAAAGTTAGTCTCGATAGAGCGCGGTGATTCCGTGAGTAACTTTTATTTATAGCTTTTGCAAAAAGTATTTGTTGAAAAAAATTAAAAAGCTAAGAAGTTTACTTTGTTGGTGGATTACGTCGTCCCGGGAGTGGGTTGTGTTTCACTGTAACATTTCCAGATACAAAGGTACGATTGGAAAAGATGAATAAAAAAAATTCAATTTGAGAAAGACAGTTGAAGATAATAAAGAACAATATGAAAACATTACAAAAAATCCAACGATCCAGTGCTTCGATGTCTAACGACTAACGAGTTTGATTCAGAGGACATAAGCAACAGTAGTCCAAGGTATTGCAAAATAAATGTATTTCCTTTTACGACAATATCGTGCGGCCATACCACGAGGTCAGGTTAACCCGTCTCCGAGGCGGACGCGCTTAGTTCGCAGGCTCGACCGCTGTCCAACCGCAAACCTACCCACAGCTATTTCAGCTTCTTGACGTGTGCTCACCGGAGCTCACGGGGCTCAAATCGGGCGTGGCAAGCGCAGTGCTTCGCAGAATCTACCACCGCATAACAACGTTCACTATACAGGCAACACCACGAGCCCAGCTGTGAAGTAGCGCTCACCAAAGGTATCGCAACTTTACTGGAAAATATGAATAAAACATGATAGTTATATGATAGTGGAAATTCTAGCTGTCGGGTTATAGAATGCATAAAATCACGTTGCACCTGCAAACCTCTGATTAATACAATTGTATAATTGGAAAATATCAAAAAGTATAAAAAGTGAAGTTCGATGCGATAAGTTAGGTCACGACCTCCGAGAGGCAGGTATTGACTTTTTACAGATATGTCTGCACATTGCGGCACAATACGCCGCGACTGCAGCGACACGCGGCCGTGCGGGAGCGGTAGTATGTTGCCAACGTTATTGTACAAAACACATTAATAAACAGTGGCATTGGATAAAACACACATTAAATTATATTTGTGATATAAAAAATTGTGTATGGACGTTGTGCCGACTTTGAGGCGAACTTGCTTACCAACTTTTCGCAGTTACAAGACCACTATTGTATCCGTACTACAATGTTGCCTGCAGGGGAAGCTCGTAAGTGAATAAATATTATATCATTCTAGAATTGCTGCAGTATATTTATGAAGTGTTGATATAATTGGAAAATGGCCTATTTTGCCTGCCTAAACATATCTACGCCAGATATTGGTGCAGCCTCCTAGCGACGGATAGTTTTGTTTGATTTCCAGCGTTCCAAAGCTGCATGTGAATAATCGAGACGACAAGAAAATAACAAATGAAGAAATTTGAATTTCCGCATGAACAACTTTTGGGATGTCATAAAAATATCATTTGTAAACAAAAAACTGTTCTGCAAAAATAACATTGTGAGAAAGCAATCTACGAATCAACAAACCAATACCTATACTGTGGTGACTGCGTAGAATTATGAATGGTATGAATTTAGAATAATAGTAACTATTTCCGATAAATATTTGATTGATTGAAAAAATTATAACACTAAAATCCAATTCTAGTGCATGTAGATTATCTCGCCTATGACGCGAATTATTTTGTTTTTCAGACCGTATTATTTTTCAAACACAACGACTACTAAAAGCGCCGTAACAGCACAACTAGTTTAATTACGAGCCTGATAACTCTGCGATTGGTATGAAAACATCTGTCAATTCACGAAACGTAATAAAAACTTGCAAAAAGTTAGGAAGAAAGATGCTTTTTACGGAAAGAAAGAAATGTTAGGTCACACCGTTTTCGAGGCGGCCTGCTTCGTTACATTTACAGATTCGAACTCACAACAATGGAGAGGTGACTGCCGGGTGAAACTGACCCGACTTCAGACTTGAACACGCAACTGAATAACGAATAACTGCTACGGAAGCGGCGTCGGCTGAAAATATTATAACTTCAAAGGTATGCAAATATGTATGTTAAAAGCATTAAATTGCATGAAACCAAGAAAAGCCTGAATCTATTGGAATAGTATATGGTAACTTTGAAATATTATGAATAAAGACTAAAAACGTATAAAGGTTGCTTTCTACGAAAGAGGAATTCGAGAAACGGATATAGTTTGACACGAACAACAGGATGTTAGGTCAAACCGTCCTCGGCGGATTGTTTGATTTTTACAGATTTTAAGGGCATCTATCGGATTATTTGCTACATGGAACTGGTGGTTATATACGCGACATCCCAGCGGGGTATGATTATCGCAAATTACTTTTATTGAACTAATACAGCACGTTGATTCTGTAGCTCTCTGCAAGATGGTTAGGTCACGC